GGCCTGAAGCCTCGATCCCGCGGGGCAGGGGCAGCCGGGGTGAGTGGTGGGCAGCTTCGGTCCTGAGAGTTGGGACCACACTTCTCCGCGCGAAGGAAAAGTCTGGCGGCTCCGCCTGAAACGCGATTGGGAGACAGAGGAGGTGGAGCTGCTCCTCCGCGCCCCCTCCTCGCCGCCGCCGCCGTCGCCTCAGCCGGAACCGGCCGGCCCCTTCCCCGCCCTCCCAGGACCACCGGTGGGGTCCCTTCCCTGCGAGTCCGGAGAGGAGGGAGGTGGCTCGAGCAAGAGCCGTTTGGGAGGTCGAAGCGTCCCCCCGTGTAGTAACAGCCCTTCCAGGCTGTGCTGGAGGCGGACTGAGCCTCCTGCCACGCTCCCCCAGAGGGGGACCTCCTTCTCCGTGCTCAGACTGTCCTTGGGTCCTCGCGGGTCCCGGATAAATGGTGGATCCTCCCACCCGACGTCAACACACAGACAACAGGGCGAGCAGGAGGCAGTGCAGCACTATCAATGAGTAACTCCTCTGGGTGGACCCAGGGCACCCATCAGGAGCACGGGAAGGAAAGGCCAGTTTCCCACTGTTCCCTGGGACTTGACCCTTCCCCAGGTGTGGAAGGGCAGAGTTCGCGAGCCCCTTCGGGTAGTGAGGACAGCCCCAGGAGGGCGCAGGTGGCGCTGGCTCTTTGCAGATAGAAGTTAGGCAGCCTTGGGCCCTGCTGCAGACGTCCAAAGTAAAGTGGGCCAGAAGAGACCTCAGGACAGGCCTGGGCACAGGCGGAGTGAGGCTTCGGCTGTGCGCCTCAGCGAGGCCTGAGGTCAGCAGAGTGGACAGGAGATCCTGGCTGTGCAGGCTGGGGACATGAGGCCTGGCTCCAGTCCATCATCTCCAGTCTGCTCTGGCCTGGTCATTAACTAAAGTGGGGCTCACAAACCTTGTCCTTTGAGAGGCCAAGTAGCTTAGAGAACCCCATATCTCCCCTACTGCCTAGATTTCCTTGGCTATGAAATGGGGAGGGGGGAGGTGTTTCTTTCAACATACAAGGAGCACCTGCTTGGTGCTAAACCTGCTTGGTCCAAGTTGCTGGGGCCTCTGAATCAAAAGCCACACTTCTTTCATGGAACTTCAAGTCCAGAGGGTGGAACAGGGAGAAAAGTGGCCTTGGTTGGAGCCACCAATGCCAGGCACATAACATACCACGGCTAACGGTCAGAGCAGTCAGTCCTGCCTTCTGTTCTGCACATGGCAAATGAGGCTCAGAGAGCCCATGGCAGAGCTGCAGTGTGCACAGCCACTACACGGACAGAGCAGCCTGGGGGGGAGGGCGACAGGGAAGGCTCCCCTGGGAGATGATGGTTGGGAGTCAAGTTATGGGACAGAGAGGGAGTGCACATTCCAGGCAGTGGGAACAGGCTGCGAGATGGCAGGGAGGAGCGAGACAGCCCCGCAGTTCAGGAACGAGGAGCATGTGTGGGGGAGCACTGGCATGGATCAGATGGGGGTGCTGGAGGATTTGACTTTTATCACAGGCCATAGCGCGTCCCAAAGACCCTGCAGAGAGGAATGTGCTCCCATTCTTGTGAAGTGGGAGGTTTGACCGGAGGAGCTGGGGGCTGCTCTGTGGCCTGTGGCAGAGGTTAAGAGAAATAGGAGTGCCTGACAAGGAGGAGACATTGTCATGGTCCATCTTCTCCTACGCCCCGCCCCCAGCTGCCACATGTGGGGAAGGGCAAGGGGCACTGGGCCCTGTTTCATTGATTGAGGAAGCCTGCTGCTTTTCCCAGGGTGGATCAGCCTCCAGCCTCCACTGGCCTGGCGAGGGGCTGTTCCAATCCTACCCATCTTCCTGTGGGCCACCCAGTTGTGATTTTACATTTGGAGAGTGTCTTGGTTGCTCCCCCTTGAGGGCTGGAGAACCTTGGCACGCAGTAGGCTCTGAGCAAATGTTTGTAAGCGAATAAAGGAGTGGATGTTGGTCTAACTCTGGAC